TGTACGCTGTGTTGCGCACCACTACTCATGAGGCACTATAAGTAGTCAAAATAACAGACATCATACTCCAAGTTTCATTCTTTATCTAAGCCTAATTAGAACGAAAGGAGATGCCTGAATTGGCTGCCGGATAACTAGTCTGCACCAGGATAAAGTCAAGTCGATTTTAGTTAAGTAAAACTTGCTTCACCTAGTGATGAATCGTCAGAGTTTAAACCATAATCGTATTCAAAGGTCGCGCGTATCCTTACCAAAATGGATAAAGATAAGAGTATCTGAAAAGCGAGGTTCATCTAAGAATCGCAACTATATAGCATTCGGTTTATTGCCATAGTACTATCAACAAGGGGAGGGTGTTTAAGTCAGACACGATTCGAGATCGAAACCCGTTGTGCGTAAAAGATGTAACAGACGGGTAGAAACAAGTGTTTTGGGGTTATTACGGGCAATAAAAGTGACATTAAAATCCTACTGCCTCTTTGAATGTACTTCAGTGACCTTGGAATAAACCAGTGGATTTTTCACGTGAACCTGAGTGTAATACATTCAGTTGACGGGCAAAAGTGTGTTCTAAAATATTTGTGACACGCATAGCCCCAATTTGAGCGTGTTGAAGACCATTCGTCAAAATTTGATGAAGGCGATTATATCGAAGTCTTCAGCGAAGCTGATGTTGCACTAAAGGAGAGTTGGGAACGGACAAAACCTTCAAAGACAGTTTGTGTGATCATTCTTCTAACCGCTGGCAGGTTTCTGGGACCGCTTTCTGAATCATGAATCTCAGATTCGACGTTGATGCGATCAGGAGTTGATAGTAGATAAAGACGGGAAAATTTAAAATGCTATTTAATTACCTTGTCTCAGAACCAGCGAAGATATGAGGGAAGCTTTAGCCACCTAGTCCTGTGACAAAAGAGTTTCAGATCATCTGGACTAGTTTACGTTTCATTCTAGCCTCTCGGCGGAATTACAGCAGAACGCCCTCGTCGATCGTGCCAAATTTGCTTGGTTGTTCACACAATCGAATGGCTGGATATTCCACGCGTTCGTCCCTTTGCAAACATGTCCCCAACTTTGTCCAGGTGTGGACACCCTCGCAGTATCCTAGCCCTTGTACAAACATGGTTGTACGGCAGTGAAGCATCGGTTTCGAACACTGATATCATGCTTTCGATGATGATGACTTCTAGCTTAGACACAGGCCTTACCTTTCAGCCCTCCAACATCTAGTGGTGACTTCCTCACAAGACGTATTGATTGATTAGTTGGTTCACCGTCATGCTGAGGACTCCAGTGGAACGTAGAATGACCAGAACAAATTACTCTTTCAGCTGTGCGATGATTGGATGTTCTGAAAAGTACCTCACCAACCAATGCAGCAGACTAATCGGAGTTTCCAATATGTTTGCGATTAAGAAGGTGTAGGTCATTGATTAGAGACAGAATTTTGAAATCTGTACCACAGTGCTACTTCGGCTGCCTATTCCACACCAAGTAAAACTTCTGAAACTTAACTTTCAAATAAATGCCCGTTTTCAACCATCACCTGTCAGTTTATTTTCCCGATGAGCTGGTGAATACTACTGATGAGGCATGCGTATAGTAGTAGGCTTTCTCTTAACTCCGCTTTGCGTCTGTTGGAAAACGGGTTTTATTACGGAATTCCCTTGTAGCATTAGTTTATCTTTGAGTGATAGTCAGCGAATATCCAGGAAAGTTCAAAAAGGAGATTGATATTCAATTGTTATAAACAAGATGCGTATGAGAGTTTTGTTTTCCTGTCCACTAGTCTGTAACTGTTCAGTTGGTGTTTTCTAGCAAATATCGCCGCAGAGAAGGCTTTCTTCTTTTCAAAGGTAGATGGCTATGATTTGCAGGTGATAGGTGACATACTTGAGGAGATCGGGGAACGATCTAAGGCAACAGGTTCGATGCAAGCATACTTTTGATGTCGGGACAGTGCGACATGACAATTAAAGTATCCGGTCAGGATTCACGACAATAAGGGGGGCTATGATCGTTAAGACAGAAACGCCGGTAATAAGTAGAACATCCACCAGCTGGATAGAGATCTCCCGGGAATAGTTTCTTGCTACAACAGCTGCGGTGCCCGTCCTGTAAACTGGTTGCGATTGCCTCTGGAACATAACTTGAGAAAGATTGTGGACGCAGTGACCGGGATAAACGAACATCATCATGCTTCTGTAGTAACGGTGTTTTTCTTTGATTAGTTCTTGGTCTGAGCCTCCCAAGCTGGCGTTCACGTCAAACAGCTACCAAAGGTGCACAAGGTATATTAGCTCCCAAAACGAAGTCAGGAACACTTCATATATAAAGCGTGAGCGGCAATAACTTTCTGGAAATTCTGACGCGTCCTGGATGCGCCATTGGCAACCGGCCAGTACTGGATCATGATTGGCTGTCGGGTAACGACTTTCGACCAATCAGATCTCGACTTCATGTCGGAGCGGCAAGCGTCCCAAATTTTTGGCCAATCTTGCGTGGGATGGGCATGTCGGCCGTAGCAGCACCTGACTGGGAGTGGTTAAGAGGAATCCGTATGGTGTTCCACCATAAGTGCCGGTCATTGACCTGGGATACTTCCAGGACTTCCACACCTGACAGGAGGACCGTTAGGGTCGTCATCAAAGACCTATGGCTCGAAATCCAAGCACTGGTTGCCACAGTATCGTCAGAAGAACCTAGATTTCTAAGAAGCAAGTCGCCTCGCATGTTCCAAATCCCTAGCCTGGAGAACAATGAGACGATATCACCCGTACACTCCCTATTGTATGTCAACGGGTTATGAAGGCACACAAACGTTACACCTCTGTGGAACCCAGGCTCTGCGCCTGAATAAAGGAAACTCTGTGCACATGTTAAAAGATCCATGAGCCCGCTAAAAATGTAAGACCCAGGGATGTCGAAAAAACATACGAGGGTTGTCGGTCTGCGCGACTGGAAAACATGTGACCGGAAAGGTCGATCAAGAATCAAATGAACCACATTAGATTGTTAGTGGAAAAATTTCTTTCTGACACGGACCAAGGTTATTATTCCACCAGTAAAAATGTGATGAACACCTTGGACCACACACATACAAGGACACCTCAGGATACAACGGAGATGGCCAAGGCGGTTAGAGCGCGAATTTACTGACCGGAAGGTCCGTGGTTCGAACCCGACCTCTGTCTCTTGACTCCCCCTGTCTAAGCTTGGGCAACCTGACAGTATCCCAGCCCTCGTGCAACCTTCGGGCGGCACGGCACTTTGGCACGCAAATGGTGCTACTGCTGAACGTATCCTTCTAAATGATTCCGTATGTCAACATCACTGCGTGATATTCAAGCTCCGGCATTCTGTACTTTACAAAGATTCCACCGCGTTGTCTGCCTTTCCAAATCCTCAATTTGCAAGATGATCTGAATTTCCACCTTGAACAGCTCCGAGAAAACTCGATTTCAGAGCGGATGATATTGAACCCTTTGTGATTTGTGCGATACCACTTAAAAACGAATGGGCAGGCATTTCTCGGAGAGTTCGTTCTGTTCAGACAGTCTTTCGGCAACAGGTGCTCTTCAGTTTAATTGATCCACGTGAATAAAGCAGTCTCTAGTCTAGGCCGACCGTTGAGTCCGGACGTGTCCCACTACTCATAGAGTTGCTGAAAACCTTTCGATAGCCCACGATCGGTTTCGCCTTTCTTGGAACTGCACATCCACTTGGAACGGACCATCATAAACGACAGATTTAGCTGGATTCATTAAACTCTCCTCGCGGAACCAAATTTGTTTGCAGCTGAGAATAGTCCTGAAGACTAAGCATCCCGGCGCATTTCAAACTGCTGATAAGCTATGGTTGATTTAAAGGCGCTGTCCGTTTGATCAATCGAACTTCTGACGCCTCACCTCCCACCTGAAAAGCACCAGGAATAAACTCAAACTTCGCGAACTTTGGGTTCACCTGATAGGTGACCGCTCTTCATCCAGAGAAAATATCATGCCGTAAAATTGAATTGTATTCAGTCATTTTAAAATGGAACCTGTGAGCCGTTTTGACAGGCAACTGATCTGAAACAGTAAATGTGTTATCAGGGTGGACCAAAATTTTTAAAGCTCGAGTATTATAAGACTTAACATGCGTTTTTCTCTCGGAATACTTTCGACATCAAAGGGGAGAAATGGTTGGTCGAACCGGTTTTCTTGCTGCTTGTCACATCAAACGCTGTACTTGTAAAATTCGCTCACCTGAAACACCTTTTCGGTGCCTAGCTGACCAAAGAACTGCGATAATTCCAGTTTAATTAAGCGCACACCGGGGCAGCCGAGCTACCTGATTTGGACTCGAACTACGGACCTTCCGGTCAGTAAGTTCGCGTCTGAGCCACTAAGCCGCATCGAGCTCAACTTTTAAGACCACAGAGCTCAATTATGTGTCTCGCTTAATGTGGCTGCAAACGTGGTTAGAACATAGGCTAGAACACAGCAGAACATAAGGTTGATGGAAACTTAGGGACTGAGCGCCTACCTGATGAGCCCCAAGAAGAGCGAAACCGGTCGTGGGCTGTCAAAGAGTTTTCAGCAACCCTGTGAGTAGTTTCCTTTATGTGGTTAGAAATTCTTTTATATGCGAAACAACCAAGACACTGAATGTTCTCCGGCCATTAGCAAAGTTTTAAATAAAATCAATTTTTCTGTGTGCTTAGCTACCGCTGGCATCCAAATGACTCAAAATTCAATATGCTTAATGGAACAAGAAACAAGGTATTGTTTGACCTACCTTGTGGTTGAACGGACAAAATGGTGGCTATTCAATCGTTGATAGCGTGCGCTGAATAGCGCTCACCTACAACACATTTGCACCCTAAAGCATACTTGAGAGGTCTCACCTGAAGTTATTCATGCAAGCACTTTTGTCCGAATGTTGGCTGTGTCCAGCTCACGAAAACTTCTTCTTGCATACATCCTCTTCAAAGCAACACGCGACGAAAAACCAACAGAATGAATCGAACATTTTATCTCATCGAATTTGAAAGACAAATGGCGCAAAAATTATCCACTGAACAAAAATCAACAGAATACCTGCTTTTTTGTATCAAAACTATTATTCGTCGTTAAATAATGTTGCAAATGGATGTTCAGTCTCCTCTTTTTACGTTGCTCTCTCTCTCTCTCTGTATGTGAAAACAGACTTTGTTGTGATCGTAGCCAGTGTGGTCATATTGGCCGTGGACAACGATGGAAACATGTTTGCCGCCAGCGCTCTCAGAGGACTACGGTTTTTTCAAATTCTCCGAATGATCAGGATGGACCGCCGGGGAGGGTCGTTCAAACTTTTGGCCTCCGTGGTCTGGGCCCACCGACAAGTAAGTTGGCGGTTTGTTGAATCGCTGATCGCTCAGATGCATATGTGGATTGCTGATTGCTTGTGTTTGCCGGGCTTGGCAGAGCTTTCAAACTGACTGGCAAGCCCGGCAGCCAGATCAATACTGGATCGATCAACGTCTAACAGTCAGGTGTTCATAACGAAAACACCTTAGGAAAACAGCCCGTTTAAATTTACCAGCTGAGTTTATACGCCCTACACAATCGCCAATTTCTACTCGATAGAACGCCAATTACATAGAGCATTCGAACACTTGGATTCAGGCGCAATATTTTGAAGTTTCAAGGCTGAACTTCACTAAGCTGAATTCACTCGAGGAACCAATCAATGGGCTTGACCACGTGATGTGGTTTCCTGGATTGAAGGATGAGTGACTTTATGTGGTGGCTAAGTGAGGACTAATCTCAGTGCTGATTGGCCACTCATGGCCGATCAGTTGTGTTCACTCACACTCGCATCAAACCGCTACTGTACAATGCTGTACTGGTCGGACGGTCCTCAGATTATTTGAGTCACTGCCAAGCAAACGATAAATTGACTTCGATGAGATCCTGCAAGATATAAAAGCTTTTAGTCGACGATATTCTAGAGAATAGGTTATATTTTTCCGAATCGACGTCTAGTTTCTACGAAAATCACGTTGCAATGTGACTGTCGTTTAAAGTGTGAGCAGAAATTGTCTGAGTGACTAGCGAAACACACTCATTTGCAAGCAAAATTCGTATTCCGAGTGACTCGCCTGGAACCCAGCTGAATCTATCGTTAATGCTGTATCCAGGCTACTAAATGTGCTGCACCAGGCCGCTTCATGTTTCAGTTGGTACGATATTCGAGATATCGCAGTATATTTTCACAAAGAAAACTACTCATAAGCTCACGACAGCTCACGACCGGTTTCGACCTTCCAATTCGGGCTCACCAGATAGGCGCAGTCCCCGAGTTTCCGTCAACCTTATGTTCCGCTTGAACCCAAATGGACTGTTTTCGAGAAATACATTCAGTTGCGAATCAATTTAGTTTCCACGAGAGACTCAAATGGATCTCTGGTTTATGCTATTCTACAGCTGAATGTGTGCTGCACACAGGTCGCCTGATGCTTCAGTTGGCACGATATTCGAGATATCGCAGTATATTTTCATAGAGTAAACTACTCACAAAGTTGCTGGAAACTCTCCAACAGCCCACCACCGGTTTCACCCTTCTTGGGGCCAAAAACTCGGGGACTGTGCGTAACTGATGAGCTCCAAAGGGGGCGAAACCGGTCGTGTGATTTTGAAGAATTTTCAGCATTACGTATTTTCCAAGAGCTGTCTGTTCCCGCACTTTGACTGGCTTGAACCTTACGCTGAACAGTGAGGAGATGTTTTTCAGTCTACCTCGCCAACCTGAGAACGTTCCAGGTGAAAATCGCAGTCCAATGCCCAGGCACCCAAAATAATGCAATTTGCCATTCAGTCATTTACCAGGCGAACTCGCGACGGTTTTTCAGTGAAAAAAGACCACTCGACCGAGGGAAAATTGGGTCCCTAGTGCACTCCATACTTCTAAACGCTGAGTGATGATGATACGCATGGTCTTGGCCCAAAACATTTACACTTAAATATGACAACAAAACAAGATTGTGTTGATGCGAAGATCATTCTGGTTGCCAAGCGAGCCTGAAAGTGTTGTCCTAGCAACAACATTAGCATGTGTACAACTGTGTGGTTCACTCAACCTTGATTACTGGTTTCTGCTAGATGTTGTTGCGTATTATGAATGAGTTAAAAGCGGAAAATTAATTCAAACTAATGCCCACGTGTGTTTACCTTCCAAACTTATTAGTTTTCTCTACTGATCGAAATGATCCTAGTACAACGGAGTACACTACTGATATAACACGCTAGTAGCTTCTAGTCAAGTTTCAAAGCGCCATCTCTGCATATGATGGTGGGTTGAACGACCGGGAAAATTCGAGATGACGCTATGCACAAAAGTTGTTTTTACTTTCGTGTCTGTAACGGCTTTAGGTCGTAGTGGTTAGTCGGAATCACTGCATATGAAGGCACCCTTGCATTTACCCGCAATGCTGCTAAAAGTGTACCGATTGAGGTACGTGGGCAGCTGCATGAATCCCGGCGAAAGATGATATTTTCATCCGGATCGGGGAGGCTAGACTAGCTTTTGTGAACCTGCGTCACCTGTGGCGTAGGCGTGACATCAGCTTATCCGTCAAGGGTCGAGTTTACAATGCTGCGGTGCGCTCCATATTACCATACGGATCAGAAACCTGGTCGCTGCGCACTGAGGATGTTAAAAGACCATCGAAATCAATGGTTAGAGACATGACCCAGTCGCACCCCCAATGGCGCTCGTGCATCCAAGCTATTACCTTCAACGCATAGCTTCTTTTCCAGTTCCTCCATATGACAGTCCACTGACAGTGCCGGTTTTATGAGCTAAGTTATCAACTCCCGTCTGGAATGCGCAGCTACCTACCCGGCCTCCCCTAATCGTCGGTGAACAAAACGGCGGCAGCTATAACCACTGTACGATGAGAACGCGGTTATTACAGCTGATAATGATGACGATATATCACGATCTCTGGAGTTTGGCTCAGTTCGGTGTGCTGATAGGACGTGTGAGCTGCAGCCGCAGTAAAACAGAATACGTTTGAAGTTGGGGCGAACCGTGCACTCCGAGCTGATCAGGGGCTCCTTGATGTGCCATAGGTCAAACTCCCTGGGCTCATGCACTTTTGAATCACCACTGTATAGGTAAACAAAATACAGGAACAATCCAGTCTAATGAGATAAGCACCCGGTACCGAGTGGATCACAAGTGAACTCTATCAAGGCAAGCCAGACCGGAAGGTCATCTAGGCCGATATTGAGTAAATAAGAGGTCTGTTGCTGGATATCTGTGGTTAAAGAGTGATCTTACTGGTCGGAAGGACCGTGATTCGAACCCAGCCCAGGCACGCTCATTGGTTCTTTGCAGGCGGAACTTCACTCGTCGCGCTTCCAGTAATTAGCATAGCAACAAAGCACCAAAAGTGTGTTGCAGCTAGACGACTTTCGGTTTCAACTAGGTAGCAAAACCGGGACAAAAACAAGT